TTTATTTCAGCTATCCAAGCACAGCAGAGGGATCTGACAGGCAAGAGTCAAAGGAACAAGCTTGGGGAGAGTACTGCAATGAAATGGCTGTGGAGAAAGTCTGTAGATGTGGATGTTTTTTTCATCACAGAATATCACATTACCATCCTCTCATGTGGGTAACTGGGGATCTAGTTAATAAAAGCACCAAAGTCTAATTGTGCAGTGAAAGCAGCAAAAGCCCATTAGTGGGAATGCATTTATTTCAGTACTAACATGTCCGACCTTCAGTATAGTTTTTACTATACATAGGCTATTTATCAAGGCTGTAATTTGTTTAATTCAAATACAGCACTTGGCATAGTATTGGGCTCAATGACCTTTATGGGTCCCTTCCAACTAGGGATATTCTATGTTTCTATGATTAGCAAAATAGAGTCATATACTGATACTGGTTATTCCTCTTTCTATAGAAGAACCATTTGCAATTCTGTGAGCACCTTTATCACAGTAAAGCTCTGTTTATACGAGACATTAGACAAAAACATAAACTTAATGAAGTAAATATTCCAGTATAAAATATTTGTGGAGGCTAGGCTTGGAAAAGCCTTGGGAAACATTCAGACAAAAGCTGCTTAATATTAAGGACAACATCCTATACATCCCACTGGTGCAAGCCATAAAATGCAAGAAAGCAAGGAGTTAAGGCACACAGTTCACTCACCAGTTCCTCTTCCCAGCTGTAACTACTTCCTTTCCATCATTTACATTTCTCATATCACTTTACTCATTCTGAGCACCCAAGGCACAGTCTGGCATCTGGCTGCACATTTGTTACATCAGCATGCAGATCCTCATTTCATTTCCCTAATTTCTGTATTAGGATTTAATACAGAATTCAGACAACTACATCCACAGACTACCTGCTCTCATGTTTTCCTAACAAGTTCAAAGAAAGCAAGCATATCTGATAGACACCACCCGCAGGCTGGCAGAGTACCTTGCTGCCATATACAAGCAGAGAATCAGAACACATTGTGTGACTGTAACATTTGGAAACCATCTCAAGCACATGGTGGTCATCAGACCACATCATGAGATCACAAGTCAACAGGATCTGATCACTAGGCTGATGCTGGTAACTCAATAGGGGGTACAGATCCATGGCTTGTGGTTGGGGTTGATTAAAGGAACTGAGGTTTTGAAGGGGGAACTGATGATTGGTGTGTGGAAAAGCTGAGTGACTCGTACTCTAAATCTTGTGCTTTCTACAGTGTAAACCACCAAACTGCAGTCTAGAAAGCCTGGGTCTAGGTTAACAGTAATTTGTGGATGATGGTCATCTTTCATTCAGACAGGTATGAGTAACACATTACATTCCTTGTCAAGAAGAACTGAAGAACATAGAAATGACTGGCACTGTCCCAAGCAAGGTAGGGTTTTTTTTTCATTCTTATTATAAACCCCCAACTTCTTTGAATTTAAAGTGCCAGCTGCATAGTTTTGGTGCACATCTGAAGGACCATCTCAGTAACTCCCAGTTTAACACTGCAAAACCAAGGGACGCAGAGGAGGAAAAGGTAAGATCGAGGCTGCCCGTCCAAGTCTGCCTTGCTACATTTGCTCCCTCCTTACTGTGCACTGTAGTACAGTAATGCAGTCACAATATCTGGTCTTGTCCCAGCAAAGCCCAGATGGATGGACAAGAGGGGACAGCTTTTTGGTACTTGTTCCATAATAGCCCTAGGCCTTCACTGCTGTACACCTTCCAGGCCTGTCATGAAGAAAGTTAGCAGTTTCATCCCCGGCTTTCCAAGGATGTTCATCACCATGTTATTCATGCCTATACATGCCAGGACACTCCTACAGGAGGGAAAAGACCCTCAGTGCTGTGGCTGTGCATATATGTCTGTGGAATTACGTGCATAGGAGAGAAAGGTCAGGCCAGACCTCTGGTTTTGTCAACTCTCCTTGCAATCCTGCTGGCCAGACCTCGCACCATTTCTGCTACATCCCTGCCTGGACCAAATTTCCTAAATTCCTTTCCCTACAACTCTCTACTTTGATTCTTGCACATCGTGCGCCCTCCACAAGAAGAGAGGCAAGACTCCTCCAGACACCAGTCTCCTTTAGACACTTCCATCTTGTGCGTTGAACAAGGAAAGGATTTTACGTAGGAAAAAACAGTGACCCCATGACTAAGGCTGCAACTAGCTCATTTCTGCAAGGTGGTTTATGACTGGAGTTGGAGCAGCATGTGCCAGAGCTCCCAAGCACATAGCCCAGAGGAAGGCGGAGAACACCTTTGTCTTACCCTTGCATATTCATACCCGCTCCGAACAATGTGTAATGCTCACTAAGCCTAGATGGCAATAAAACCCCTGGGGGGAGGTGGCACACTTTGAAAGATCATTAACTCACAAAACCAGCCCGTGTAAAGTTAATCCTGGAAAGGAAAACATTAAAAAAAAGCTGCCGAACCCAAACCTCCTGGTCCTTATCTTCCAGGCTTTTCAAGTGTAAAATTGCACTGGCCTCTGGCTGTTTCAAGACTGCATGAGTCATATCCGTCCTAACTGGAATACTTAAATTGAGCTTGTTCAGCATTTGTTACGATGGAAGGAAGTTAGTAATAATAGGAAATGGAAAGCACAGGTCTTGTTTTTTCAAACCCCTGTACTTCACTGTTTTCTTAAGGGGTCCGAAGCAAACACATTTGTCATCATAGTGGTATGCTTACTTTTGCTAGCCTGAATAACCTGGATAATAGCAAGAAATACACTTTATCTCTGTATCAGACGGTATCTGTGTAGCTGTATGGATTTCGCAACTTCTTTTGTCATCTGAGCCTTTCACATGTCTTTCCTTCCCTTCTGACCACTGGTGAATTGCCAGCAAGAGCCTCAGACTGCACTGCTGTTTTCCTGAATACAGCCGCAGTTGTCACAGGCTGGAGTCATAAGTTATAAAATTGAACCTTTCATTGGCTGAACTCAAAAGCTGAAACTACCTTCTAAGCCCATGGGTGAAATATGGTGTAAAAACATCTTTGAAATAGTTGTATAGAACTCTTTTTTATAGCGCTATGCTTACAATGGACCTATTTGCAGACCAGTTTAAGATCTCTCCTTAAGTACTGGAAGGATAGAAATCATATTGTCTGTTTGAAAATTACAGCATAAATTTGATGTTTTCTTTAAAAACTTAATTTCAGCTATCGAGTCAGCAGAGCTACACAGTTTGAGAAGTTCAGCATGTCAAAATTGGAAATTTATTGAATATGAAATGTTTATCATTATTACACTCTTGATAAAAAAATCAAGAGGTGGATGATAGATACAGCAGTTACCTCTCAGAAGGCTGTTACAGCCATTTTTACTCTTTGCAACACTTGAATCACTGTCTGGGTTATGTTGAGTTTTCTGCATTTTTATTTCACTTGCCTATGAATATTTTTGGAAAATTCCGTTTGTCAGCACTCCTGTCTTTGAATCCCATTTCCCCTGATATTTTTTTTTTTAATTGTTTTCATGAGACACTTTCTCTTCCTTGGTAGTTCTATATCAGTCTTACTCATTTGGACTGTGATGCAATTTGTATGAGTCACTATTCTCAGGCACATGAGCTGGCAGGCAAATATATTGATAAAAAGCAGGTGTTTTTTTTTTCACCAGAACTAAAAGTAGGGGGGAAAACTGACTGCAAATAGTCACAGTCCAGATTAAATACAAATCTATGACTTTGGGATGTTTTAAGAGTTCCCTATTTGTCCAGTCTGGTAGCTGGACAACACCATGAATTCAGTGTCTGTACACCTGTAAAAATGTTTCCTGAAGACTTCCATACTGGTCAGTATCTACCAGTTAGGAAGACCATATTCCCTGGCTACCCTTTAATTGCTCTGTGTCACAAACAAGGCCCAGTTTTCCTTCTCCACACGACTGTGAAGAAGCAAAACCCTTAGGTTTTTCTCTGAGATTCGATCTGTTATTATTCTGACATGTAAAGCATAATGGCTGCACTTAAATAGAAAATTTTAAGGTGAACACAGTTATTTGTAAGTAATATTCTGCTGTCTGATCCACGTCCATCCAAAGCCAGTCTGTTAATGAAACAATTTTATGTATTTTGTACAGTTTTCAAGTAATTCACTGAAATCATCAGATCGCCTGACATTTTTAATGCTAGATGGAAAAAACTCTGACTAAAATGACAAATTAGTTTTTAAAATCAGAATCCTCTTGTTCAAAACACATAAATACAGACAAAACTAACACATCCTGGATTCTGCAGTGACCTGTGCACAAAGCAAAGCTCTGAAGTCTGTACATGGTGTTTCCCATCAGTGCAAAACTCAGAAAAGGCTTTTCCAGCATTCCCAGGCTTGACATCCCAAGTGCATTTTATTCATTATGTATTTTTTCTCTTCAACTTTCACAAGCTATAGTGAAAACTGGACCAATGGAAGAGGAATAAATACAGTGGTACACTGCCTGCAAAGCATCCCAGCAGAAAGCATGTGCCTCAGATTGGGGATTTCCCTTTGTGTCTCTGCAGTGGCCATGGTAAGGTAGTAAGCAGTGCAGGGCATCTACACAGCCCCTGTGCCAGTGGCTCAGGAGGAGAAGTGAAGACAAGGCCATCCTCTCCTGCTGCCTCCTTACACTCTCCTACTGCAATGTCAGGCGCTGGTAGCAACGCGGAGCCTGTTCTCATGCCTGTGCTGCAGGGAAAACTGTAGGTAGTTACCACAGAGTTAAAAAGGGCAGCTTATATCTCTTATTGTCCCCTTTGCTGCCAGAATTACTGGGGAACATTGTGGCGCCAAAAGACTTCCCCAGAAATTGTTCTGATTAACATAAAATGCTGATTTTATAATAGTTTAGTGCTAATAATCAAAGCTAAAGTTCTGGCAGAAATCTTCAGTTCATAGTTTTCAATTACTAAGACACATTTCAGGATTAACAACACATCAAGTTCAATTCCAACCTCATGAAGATGTAACAAATGCCACTGTCAAGCAGAGTTAAAAATACAGGGTGATTTAATAATATTCAGAACATAAAATGTCTTTTCCATATCCACTTTTAATGAAAAAAATACTGTATGAATAGAAATGGAAGTATAACAAAGAAATTTCAGTTGATCTAAGAAAATACAGGGATAAATAGAGCAAATAAGATTAACATTTTACTTCCAGGTTATTTGTATATGATAGAACTCCTGTCCCTACTTACAGCCATTTATGTTTCAAAACAGGCCATAAAATAAGAACAAAACATCCTCACAGTATTTTTGTGGACATATTCTCACTTGAAACTATGATGGTAGTATTCTTATGTTAATTTCTTGCATGCCCAAAAGTACAATAAAAAGACTCTCAGCTACCTTTATGCTCAAGGAAAGAATTTCTGACCTCATTAGTTTCCTTCTAATTTCATTACTTGCAAATTATTACTGTCAGTACATGCATTTGATAAAAATAATTATGTTACTTCAATTCTTAATGTGCAATTTCTGAGATTTTACACAGCAATGTAAAGCTGACATGGGATAATGAAGTATAGTTTTTACCAGTGAGGAGACCTGTTTTAATATAACTTCCAAACATTTCAGGCATGAGGAAAATAATTAAAAAAATCTTCACCAAACTAAAATTAACATACATGTATTTCATATATTAACATTGTCCTTGTTGTATGCCTTAGTATGGTCCAAATTTCCAACACAGAGACTATTTATATCATTTTCTAGTGTGTCCATATCTTCTTAAATTGGAAGAAATATGTTTAGAAAAGAAACTTGATCTACTAGAACATATAATGGGGATAGATTAACTTCAATTATGTTACTTGAAATAAAATATCCATTATATAATGGATGAAATATCCATTATATTAAGCTACTGGATGGCAAGCATTAAATCAAATATAGACTTCTACATACTCTGTATCTGTAGTAAAGTATTATAACATATTAAACAGACCTTTATTTTAAAATCTCTTTCCAGCACAGGACCAATCCTGTATTAACTGCCTCACATAAACTAATTGAGAGTTATGAGGACCCCTGTCTCTTTTGGTACTGTATTCTGAGCTTTTCCAGTTGCTCTACACACTGTGTCTGGGCCAGCTTCAGTGTTCGGTTCTCCTCTGTCAGTTCTGCATACTCCTTGGCCAGCTGAGCAGCATCCATGCTTTCTTTTTCCACTTGTTCCAGCCTGGCAATCAGCTCCTTTCTGAGGATTACAAAAAAACAAACAAAACCCCAAAGATTGAAAATGGCAGTACGCAAGTATTTGGCATCATGTGTTAGGTTAAAGCTGGGCTATAGGTTGTTAACATGCTATTTCTTGAGTTCCTGTGAAATAAAGACCTAGAAAATTAATTTGTTAAAAGCCTACCTTTCTCTTTAAAAAAAGGAGCTGCCAAAATCTCTGACAGGTTTGCTGTTCAATGACCAAACCTGCAAGATGCTAAGATACCTTCAAGTACCTCTAACTTCAGTAATAGCTGAACATGCAGTTCATGGGGGGAGAATCAAGTTCCTGGAAACCTCATGCTAATATTTAGCCTGAAGAATAACAGGTAATTTTTTTCTCAATACCAAACAATGTGTTTGTTTTCTGTTGTTTTTTGTTTGTTTGTTGTTTTTGTTTTTTGTTCTGTTAGTTGTATTTGTCAGTAAATTCTCTGAAGTACGCCTGGTTTCCTACTCTCTGCTACAAGAAAAAATAGTAAATAGTAGGCACATGAGCCTGAACTACATACATTGTTTCCATAATGTGTTTATGCTCAGACCTGTTTATGCTGAAGAAGAGTGATACTGCTGCAAACCTGACCCCTCCTGGTCTTTCTAAGAGCAGACGCAGGATTCAAGCTGTTACTTCTTTCTGGAGGGAGTCACACAGTGCCCTGTATTCCCAGAGCTGGGCAGGAGCTGCAGTCTCCTGTATAGTATCAACTGAAATTACCTCAGCACAAATTAAGATAAAAGAGGTCTTAAAACACACTGAAGGCATGAGTAACTCACAGGGTATCTAATCGCTCTCCACTTAGTTACCCAGCAGGCTGGCCTGGCCTCTGCTTTCTTTCCCCTGAAAATCAAATCATTTATTCACCCTTGCTACAGGAAATCTCTTCTAAAAGGTTCTCAGTTCTTTTGATCATTCTATCTCAGAGATTAGTTAATCTTCAACTGTTCATAGCCCTCTGACTTTATGTCTCAGTCATGTCAAAACAATACTTATAGATCATCAGTGGGAAGATGTAATGCCTTCAAAGTGGATAGCTTTTGTCACAGTCTTTAAAGGAGCCTTCTTGTCAGGCTAGACCAGTGATTTAAGATGGGAAATTCCTATGGCTTAGCAATTCTATCACTACATGTCAGAGTATTCGTGAAATGATAACATTTCAGTATTTGCTGATCACTTACATTACTTAGAGCTGCAAAACTACCAAACTACCAGTTACAGCAGCAAAACTATAAGCACGCAGGTTTTCAGAAGCATTTCTATTTGGTCTTCTTTTAGAATCCGTTTGATCTTCCCCAGTTTGATGTTCCTCTGTCTTTACTATAGCTTTAAGTGGCTGCACAGTTTTCCCCTAGTTTAGCTGACTGTTCACAAAGCTCCTGCAGTTCAAGGAGTTAAGTTAGCAGAGAGCCCTGGCACACTCATTTCTCCCGCGTTTCCCATTAACAAAAAAAAAAAAAAAATTAGCAGCCATTATAGCAATTTTAAATCATCCAAATGCTGCAGTGTATAGAACTCCCCCCCCATCCCCCCCCCCCCCCCCCCCCCCCCCCCAGTAACTAAATACGTTGGCATTGTTTTATACCACTGGTGTACTGTATAGGAGCTATGCTGCAGCAAAGCTCTTCTGTTTCCTTTCATCAGGCTCTTGAGAGAAAACATCAAGAGCATATTTTTGTTCAGCAGAATTCTATTAACATTTGGTCCATTAGCTATAAAAATTTTAAAAGCAGCATTTCATTCCTCTTCATTGGGCCATACAAGATCAACTAATTTTTCAAATTGGCTAAGATGAACTTATCTTGCTAGACAGCTCGTATTAATGGGACTATAGGCCACAAAGGACTACTTGCATGTATGCTTTAGAGAGTGAGAAATGTATTTAATGACAATAAGACTTTACAAGTGTGGCATCTTTAATCACTTCAGTCTCTTAGGGCTTCCTCTAGAAGATTTCTGTCTCTTGGGAGCAAAAGAGAGCTTAGCAGTATTTCTTTGGTATTACTCTACTGGTGCAATGCTGGACTGAAGGATTAAATTAAACTCTTCCAAATTACAGACTGTTGACTCAGAAGTGTCCAAACAAATTAATTCAGAATCATTCTTCATTTTCTTACCCTTTAGGAGGTTCTTAAAGGGAGATGCAGTAAAAATATTAAGAAGCAATCAGCATCTTAAAAGCAGGTAAACCTTTTCCACAGGGACTTTTAGTAAAGAATTAAAAGAAAGGTATTAACTACTACATTTGGACTTGAGCCAGGAGTGGCACAGACAACATGCAAACTCAGACAGCTCTATTAATGAGTGTCAGTCCTCATTTGATAAAATTAAGCTATATGCAGGCATGGCTTTTGTGCTGCTCTCTAGTAATACCCAAGCAGCACAGATAACATTTTTTTTCCCTTGGATTTAGCTTTTGTATTAAACAAAATATAAATGCATTAAAAACAAAATATACCCATTTCTGTAGTCCACAGTCTAGGACTTCCCTCATAGAAAACAGTTTCCTTGCACTGAGGTAGTAAAATTGCCCGCTTCTGAGTCAGCAGAACCTACTTATTCCCTTCCCATCAGGATCAACACCTGTTTATAGGGTAGGGTGATGTTTCAGGCAAATACTGTCAGTCTGCCACAGAGATCTAAAATTAGAGTACCAGGGAATTGCTAAATGTTATGAATGGTATGGTTTACGAAGCTCACAAAAGGATGAAGACAGTAACTAACATTTGCTTCTGATCTAATCCAGGATTTGAACTTAGCTTCCAGAGGTTAAAGAACACCATACTAAGCTCTTGCACCATCTAGCCTTTGTTATGGATGCTTAATAAATAAATCTAGTACTGTGTAATCTGTGTTTCCTGTTAATGGTTACCCTGAGTTTAAATACTAACAGCATTCATAAGGTATTTTCTAAAATGGTGCTGAGGTACTTGAAGCTTCAGGACAATCTGTAATATACAGTTTAAATGTTCTTTCTCAGGGAGGGGTTTAGGTGGGAAGAAGACAAGTGTGATTTGCATCATAAAGCAATAAACCACGAGCCACATTAGAGCAGAAGAAAAACCCAGCCTGGTCTTTGGGAAATAATTTCTCTTGTCCTGGCCTTAATGACTGACCATGCAGAGAACAGAGTTCCCTTACAGAAATATTCACAATGAATATATATCAAGAAAAATGACAGACAAAGCAGATAAACCTGTCTGAAGACAAGTGTATTTGGACATCAAGAAAAACTGCTTCAACAGTGCAAAGAGGCACACTTGTCTTTCCTCCATTGTGAACAACATATTCAGGATCATGCATCTCTGGTACTACACATTTCTTCCCAGCTAACAAGTGTCTGTGTGTTCTGGTGGGCATAAGATCATTTATTCTTCCCACATCTGACATGGCTTTCAAATCAGGAGGAATCGTGAAACCGTGTAACATAACTGCTGTCTAAGAAGACTGGTTTTGTGTTCAAAGTCTATAATTAATTTTTAAAACAAGCAGACAGCCTGTTTTAATGTAAATTAAGGCCCTTGTTCTCATGGGTGACTTCAACCACCCTGACATCTGTTGGAAGGACGGTATGGCCCGGCACAAGCAATCCAGGAGGTTCCTCGATTATGTAGAAGACAACTTCCTTCTGCAAGTAATAGAAGAGCCGACAAGGAGAGGTGCCATGCTTGACCTCATGCTCACCAACAGGGAAGGGCTTGTTGGAAATGTGACGCTCCAGGGCAGCCTTGGATGCAGCGATCACAAGATGCTCGAATTTGAGATCCTCAGGACAGTGAGAAGAGCGTGCAGCAAGCTCACTGCCCTGGACTTCAAAAGAGCAGACTTTGGCCTCTTCAGGAACCTGCTTAGGAAGGTTCCATGGGATACAGCCCTAGAAGGCAGAGGGGCCCAAGACTCTTGGTTGATATTCAAGGATCACCTGCTACAAGCTCAGGAGTGTTGCAACCCAACCAGAAGGAAGTGCAGCAGGAGGGCCAGGAGACCTCCTTGGATGGATAAGGAGCTGCTGAGGAAAATTCAATTGAAAAAAGAGGTTTATAGTAAGTGGAAGCAAGGACAGGTGGCATAGGAAGAGTACAGGGATGTTGCCCGGGAAGCTAGGGACCAGGTTGGGAAAGCTAAGGCCCAGTTAGAATTAAACTTAGCTAGAGGTATTAAAGATAACAGGAAGGGATTCTACAGGTATGTAGCAAATAAAAAACAGACTAGGGAGAATGTAGGCCCCCTCAGGAAGCCCTCAGGAGAACTGGCTACCCTGGATTTGGAGAAGGCTGAGGTTCTGAATGAATTCTTTGCTTCGGTCTTCACTGGCAAAGGCTCTGACCAAACCACCCAAGTCTTGGAAGGCAGATGCAGGGACTGTGAGAATGAAGACCTTGTGCCCACTGTAGAAGAGGATCTGAAAGTGCACAAGTCCATGGGTCCTGATGAGATCCATCCGCGGGTCCTGAAGGAGCTGGTGAATGAAGTTGCGAAGCTGCTGGCCATCATATTTGAGAAATCATGGCAGTCAGGGGAAGTTCCCAATGACTGGAAAAAGGGAAATATAACCCCCATTTTCAAGAAGGGGAAAATGGACGACCCGGGGAATTACAGACCAGTCAGTCTCACCTCTGTGCCTGGCAAAACCTTGGAGCAGATTGTCCTGGAAGGCATGCTAAGGCACATGAAAATCAATAAGGTGCTTGGTGACAGCCAGCATGGCTTCACTAAGGGGAAATCCTGCCTGACCAATTTGGTGGCCTTCTATGATGGGGCTACAGAACTGATGGACAGGGGTAGAGCAGTTGATGTCATCTACCTGGACTTGTGTAAAGCGTTCAACACTGTCCCACATGACATCCTTGTCTCTAAATTGGAGAGACATCAATTTGATGGATGGACCACTCAGTGGATAACGCACTGGCTGGATGGCCACACACAAAGAGTTGTGGTCAATGGCTCAATGCCCGGCTGGAGACCAGTAACGAGTGGTGTCCCTC